ATTTGCATTTCCCTGATCATTAGTGACGTTGAGCATTTTTTCATATGTTTGTTGGCCATTTGTATGTCTTCTTTTGAGAATTGTCTATTCGTGTCCTCAGCCCAATTTTTGATGGGATTGTTTGGTTTTTTCCTACTGACTTGAGTTTGTTGTAGATTCTGGATATTAGTCCTTTGTCAGATGTGTAGATTGCAAAGATGTTCTCCCATTCCGTGGGTTGTCTGTTTGCTGACTGTTCCTTTTGCCATGCAAAAGCTCTTTAGTTTAATTGGGTCCCAGATATTTATTTTTGTTTTTATTGCATTTGCTTTTGGGTTCTTGGTCATGAAATCCTTGCCTAAACCAATGTGTAGAAGAGTTTTTCCAATGTTATCTTCTAGAATTTTTAGAATTTCAGGCCTTAGGTTTGAGTCCTTAATCTATCTAGAGTTGATTTTTGTGTAAGGTGAGAGATGCGGATCCAGTTTCATACTCCTACATGTGGTTAGCCAATTATCCTAGCACCATTCATTGAAAAGGGTGTCCTTTTCCCACCTTGTGTTTTTGTTTGCTTTGTCCAAGATCAGTTGGCTGTAAGTATTTGGGTTTATTTCTGGGTTCTTTATTCTGTTCCATTGGTCTATGTGCCTATTTTTATACCAGTACTACACTGTTTTGGTGACTATGGCTTTATAGTATAGTTTGAAATCAGGTAGTGTGATGCCTCCAGATTTGTTCTTTTTACTTAGTCTTGCTTTGGCTATGCAGGTTTTTGTTGTTCTATATGAATTTTAGAATTTTTTTTTCTAATTCTGTGAAGAATGATGATGTTTCTCTCTCATAGCTCTTAAGATTCTTTCCTTCATCTTAATTTTGGATAACCTGATGACAATGTGCCTAGGCAAAGATCTTTTTGTGATGAATTTTCCAGGTGTTCTTTGTGCTTCTAATATTTGGGTGTCTAGGTCTCTAGAAAGGCCAGGGGAGTTTTCCTCAATTATTCTCCTGAATATGTTTTCCAAGCTTTTAGAATTCTCTTCTTCCTCAAGAACACTGATTATTCTGAAGTTTGGTCATTTAACATAATCCCAGATTTCTTGGAGGCTTTGTTTATATTTTCTTATTCTTTTTTCTTTGTTTTTGTTGGATTGGGTTAATTCAAAGAACTTGTCTTCAAGCTCTGAATTTCTTCTACTTGTTCAATTCTATGGCTGAAACTCTGCCGAGCATTTCACATTTCTAAAAGTTTGTCCAAAGTTTCCTGAATTTTTTATTGTTTTTTCTTTAAACTAGCTATTTCCTTGAATATTTCTTCCTTCAATTCTGGTATCATTTTTTGGATTTCCTTGCATTGGGCTTAGCCTTTCTCTGGTCCCTCCCTGATTAGCTTAATAACTAACCTCCTGGATTCTTTTTCAGGTAATCAGGGATTTCTTCTTGGTTTGGATACATTGCTGGTGAACTAGTGTGACTTTGGGGAAGTGCTGAAGAGCCTTGTTTTGTCATATTACCAGGGTTGGTTTTCTGGTTCCTTCTCATTTGGGTAGTCTCTGTCAGAGGGAAGGTCTAGGGTTGAAGCCTGTTGTTCAGATTCTTTTTTCTCACGGGGTGTTCCCTTGATGTAGTACTCTCCCCCTTTTCCTATGGACATGACTTCCTGTGAGCCAAACTGCACTGATTGTTGTCTCTCTTCTGGGTCTAGCCACCCAGCAAGTCTACGCAGCTCCAGGCTAATACTGGGGGTTGTCTACACAGAGTCCTGTGATGTGAACTGTCTATGGGTCTCTCAGCCATGAATATCAGTGCCTGTTCCAGTGGAGTGGCGGGGTGCACTGGACCGAGTGAGGGTTCTTAGCTTTGGTTGTTTAATGCTCTATTTTCGTGCTGCTGGCCTCCTGCCAGGAGGTGGTCCATTCCAGAAAGCATCAGTTGTGGTAGTATTGGGAGGAACTGGTAGTGGGTGGGGCCCTAGAACTTCCAAGATTATATGCCCTCTGTCTTCTGCTACCAGGGTGGGTAGGGAAGGACCATCAAGGGGGAGTGGCGCTAGGCATGTCTGAGCTCAGACTCTGCTTAGGTGGGTCTTGCAGTGGCTGCTGTGGGGGATGAGAGCAAGATTCCCAGGTCAATAGAGTTGTGTACCTAGGATTATGGCTGCCTCTGCTGAGTCACGCAGGTTGTCAGGGAAGTGGGGGAAACCCAGCAATCACAGGCCTCACTCAGCTCCCACACAAACTGAAGGGCTGATCTCCCGCCCACCATGCCCCTGCAATAGTCCCAAGTCTGTTTCCAGGTGGAGGCTGTAACGGGTTTGAAAATTTGCCCCAGGCTACCATCTGCAAAAGAAAAGGGCTTGGTTCATACCCCACCTGTGGAATCTGCACAACAGATTTGCGTCCTTCCCTGAGTTCTGACCAGGAGGCGTCTCACCCCAACCAAATTGTTAAAAAGTTCAGTTAGACATTTCCCTCTCCCCATGGAGTTCCACCCCCTGCTCCTCTGGTCACCCTCCTGATGGATCCCCATGGTGCCAGGCAGGAATGGCCTGCTAGGAGATGCAGTAAGCCCCCAGGACCTCTCCACCACCTCCTCCACCCCTGTATTTCGCTCGGCTCTCCAAATTGACTCAACTCCAGGTAACCTCTCCCACAAAGAGGCCTTCAGTTTCTCCAGGGTGGGTGTGCGTTTGGGAGAGGAGGGTCTCCCTTTCCGAAGTCCACAGTTGGGACACTCACAGTATTTGGGGTATCTACCGGATCCTGCAGGAGCAGTCCACTTCCTCCAAAGGGTCTGTGGGTCCTCTTGGGATTGCTGGTTTGTTCTTGCAGTTGATCTGGAGCTGAAATTCACAATTGACAACACGAATCTTAATCTATGAAAGCATAATGTTAATGTCTTTACCTTTCTCAGAGCAACAAAAGAACCTCAGAACAATGAACTGTTCTTCTTTTTTGAAAGCTCTGTGCTGTATTACTTTGAATTAATCGTTTTCCAAGTCCCAGTTTTATACATTCAATCTTCATTTAGATGTACCCACATGTTTACCACTTTCTTTGCCCTTCATTCCTTCTTGTATCTTAGTCCAAATCTAGAAACATTTCCTTCTGCTTCAAATACATCCTGCAGAATTTTATTTAGTGGAGACAAACTCTATTTTTTGTTTACTTGTCTGAAAATGACTTTCTTTTACTATGAAATTAAGCTTTTTAAAAATCAACTTTACTGAGATATAATTTATATTTATTAAAATTCACAGTTTAAGTCCTTAGGTTGTTGGCCTCGACAAATGCATGCAACAAGTAATCATCACCTCTGTCTCCCAGGAAAGTTCTTTCGTTCCTTTATGCAGTCCGTCTTTATCTATACCTCTCAACCCGGGCAACCACTGATCTGATCTCTGCCATCATAGATTAATTGTGTAGGTTATAATATTTCAAATATACGAATCAACTTCTCTTTTCTATCCAGTCTCTTGTCACCAGCATGTTGTCTATAAGATTCACTCATGCTTTTGCCCATATCAATGTATTGTTCTTTTTATTGCTGAGTGGTATTCCATTGTATGGATGAACCACAGTTTGTTTACCAGTTCACTTATTGATGGTCATTTGGGTTGTTTCCAGTTTGAGATTATTATGAATAAGGCTGCTACACAATATTTCTATACAAGTCTTTTTATGAGCACATGATTTCATTTCTCTTGGTTAAGTATCCAGCAGTGGAAGTGCTGGGTCATATGTAAGTATATGTTGAATTTTGTAAGAAATTGCCAAACTGTTTTCCAAAATGATAGTACCATTTTACATTCACAAAACCAATGTATAAAAGTCCAATTGCTCCATATTCTCACCAGTGCTTGATTTTACCACTTTTTTTATATTTAAATTGTGCTAATGAGTAAAAACGGATACCTCATTGTTTTTATTTTAAATTTCTAATGACTAATTACATTAAACATATATTCATTTGTTTATTGGCCATTTTTATATTCTTCTGGATTGTCTATTCAAGTATTTTTTGCATTTTTAAATAGAATTATTTGTGTCCTTAATGTTACGTTGTTGGTGTTATTTAGATATAGATACAGTTTTTTGGTTAGGTTTTTTTGTGTTGTCAATATATTCCAACCAGTTCTTGCTTGCCTTTTGTTTTCCCTGTAGTGTTTTTTTAAGAACAGAAGGTTTTAGTTTTTATTAAGTCCATTTTATCAAATTTTTTATTTTATAGTTTGGTCTTTTTGTCTGTTATATAAGAAATCTTTGCCAAACTCAGGTTTACAAAAATTTTCTTTTCTTATATTTCTTCTGGAAGTTTTGTAGTTTTTGCCTACATTTAAGGTATATAATCAATTTTTAAATAATTTTTGTGTAGGAGGTAACATAAAAATTGAAATTTGATTTCTTTTCCACATAGATACCCAATTGTTCCAATACTACTTGTAAAAAGAATATTCTTTCCCCCCATTAAATTATATTGGTGTTTTTTTCTAAAATAAACTGACTAAATTGTGGGTTTACTTCTAAAGTATCTTCTCTGTGGTAGTGATCCTACATGTTCACCTTTATACCAACACTACACAATCTTATTGACTATAGCTTTAGAATAAGTCTTGAAATCAGATAATATTAAGTCCAACATAATTTGTTCATTCTTTTCAAAATTATTTTGACTACTCTAAGTCATTTGTATTACCATTTGAATTATAGAGTCACCTTTATTTGCCAGAAAAAAAAAAAAAGTCTGCTAGGGTTTTGATTATGATTAAATCTACAGATAATTTTTAGAAGAATTGGCAGTCTAAAATACTTAGGATTCTAGCCCATAAACATGATCTACCTCCTAATTTATTTACTTTTTTTTTTTTTTTTTTTGAGGCGGAGTCTCACTCTTGTCACCCAGGCTGGAATGCAATGGTGCGATCTTGGCTCACTGCAACCTCTGCCTCCCAGGTTTGAGCGATTCTCCTGCCTCAGCCTCCCAAGTAGCTGAGATTACAGGTGCCCACCACCACGCCCAGCTAATTTTTGTATTTTTAGTGGAGACAGGGTTTCACCATGTTGGCCAGGCTGGTCTCGAACTCTTAACTCAGGTGATCTACCTGCCTTGACTTCCCAAAGTGCTGGGATTACAGGCGTGAGCCACCGTGCCCGGTCTATTTAGGTCTTCTTTAATCTCTCTATAAAACATTTTGTAGTTCTATATTTTATTAAATATATTTCTAAATGTTTTGGATTCATTATGATATTTTTAATTTACATTATTTTTGTTAATATATGTAAACATATTTTGTATACTGATATATGCTAAAATCACACAAGATGTAAATGCCTTACTATTTTCTCCACAGAAAATTATGTCATCTGTGAGTAAAGACAGTTGTACTTTCCTTTCCAGTCTGTATGTCTTTTTCTTGCCTCACTGAAGTAGCTAAGTCCTCTAGTACAATAGTAAATAGAAGTGGTAAGAGCAAACATCTATGCCTTGTTCTCATTCTTTGGGGGTGTTTTCCCATTAAGTATAATGTTTACTGTGGGTTTATTATAGATGCTAATTATCAGGTTGAAGATATTTCCTTCTCTTCCTGGTTTGATGAAATTGATATTGGATCTTGTGAAATGATTTTTAATTAAATGATTTTATGGTTCTTGCCTATATTCTGTTAATATGGTTAAATCATGTTGATTTTTAAACATGAAATCAACTCTGTGTTACTGACAAAATAAATTTCTGTTCTTATAAATTACTTAGCCTTAGGTATTTCATTGTAGCAACACAAAACAGAATACACTGTTATTTTAATTTTTCACATGTATTAAAACTTGTTTCATGGCCCACCTGTGGTCTATCTTGATAAATGTTCATTGTGCACTGGAAAAGAATGAGTATTTTGTTGTTGGGTATAATTAACATTCTATAAATGTTAAGTAGATCAAGTTGGTTGACAGTGTTGTTTCAATTTCCTTTAGCCTTACTAATTTTCTCTATACTTTTTCAATAACTTATTGAGAAAAGGATGTTGGAGCCACTGACAATAGCTGTGGGTTTGTTGATTCCGCCATGTAATTCTATTCATTTTTGCTTCCCATATTAGGTGCAAAATATTATGGATTTTATTATGGATGAATTAATCCCTTTATTATTAAGAAATTACCCTCTTTACCCCTATTAAATTATTGACTCTGGATACTATTTTATTTGGGATAAATATAGCTGTCTCTAATTTATTTAGTGTGATCATGGTATATCTTTTTCTATTCATTTACTCTTAACCTACTCATTTCTTCATATTTTACAAAAGTGTTTTCGATTTGTTTCTTTGTCAGCATGATATAGTGTGGCCTTGTTATTTTATTTGATCTGAAAATTTCTGCCTTTTAATGGGGCATTGAGACCATTTACATTTATTATGGTTCTTAATATATTTGGGTTTAAAATCTATCATCTTGCCATTTATTTCTTGTTTATTCATAGTTCTTTTATTTCCTCTTTCCTATTTTTCTGCTTTATTTCAAGTTTAGTATTTTTTATAATTCAATGTTATCTTAGTCGTTGATTTATTATAATTCTTTGTTATATCATTTTAGTGGTTGCTTTAGAGTGTAGAATATACAGCTTTAACTCATTACAGTCTACCTTCAAGTCATAATGCTGCAAATATAAGAACCTTATAACAGTAAACTTCCATTTATTCTTACATGAATTTTGTACTACTGTTCCCATGCTGTTTACATGTTTACATGCTATACATCTCACACTACATTTTTTGTTTTTCTTTGAACAGTTAATTACATTGTAAAGAGATTTATATAACAAGAAAAATAGTCTTTATACTTGCTCATGGATTTACTATTTCTGGTGCTCTTTATTTCTTTGTGTCGATTTGGATTTCCATCAGGTATAATTTTTCTTTTGCTTGAAAAATTGCCTTTAACATTTCTTGAACTGTAGGTCTGTTGTTGAAGAATTATTTCAGCTTCTGTGTGACTGAAAAATTATTCAATTTTCCTTTGTTCTTGAAGATATTTTTGTTGAGTATAGAATTCTAGGTTGATTTTTTCTTTCAGAACTTTAAAAGTTTTGCTCCACTGTCTTCTGGTTTTCATCATTTTTGGTAGGAAGTCTGTGTAATTCTTATTTGTGTTCCTCTGGATATAACGTATCTTTTTAAATTTGGCTGTTTTTAAGAGTATCTCTTTATTACTTTTTAAAATAATTTTATTTTATATACCTTGGAGTAGTTTAACTCATATATCTTTTGCTTGAGATTCATTGAGCTTCTTTTTTTTTTTTTTTTTTTTTTTTTTTTTTTTTTTTTTTTTTTTTTTTTTTTTTTTTTTTTTTTTTTTTTTTTTTTTTTTTGAGATGGAGTCTCACCCAGTCACCCAAGAGTGCAATGGTGTGATCTCGGCTCCCTGCAACCTCCATCTCCCAGGTTCAAACAATTCTCCTGCCTCAGCCTCCCATGTAGCTGGGATTACAGGCGCCCACCACTACAACCAGCTAATTTTTGTCTTTTTAATAGAGACGGGCTTTCACCATGTTGGCCAGGCTGGTCTCGAACTCCTGACCTTGTGATCCACCTGCCTTGGCCTCCCAAAGTGCTGGGATTACAGGTGTCAGCCACTGCGCCTGGCCTCATTGAGCTTCTTGGATCTATTACTCTACCCTGCTAATTCTGGATACCTGGGTCTCTCTGAACTTATACCTCTGTCTCCTCAAGTCAGGAACCCCTGCCTGGTTGCTCAATTCTTGTGCTGTGGTCTGGAAACCCTTTCTAGTCAGTAAGCTGTAGCAATAATAAGGATTCCCTGGTTTGTTTCCACTCTCTCAGGGATCACCATCCTATCTGACTGATGTCCAATTTTTTTTAATTTCATGATTTTTTTCTGGTTTTTAAATTGTTTCATGTAGAAAAGTAAATCTAGTTCTCATTACTCCATCTTTGCTGAAAATCAGGAGCTAACTTTTATTGGACATCTACTATACACGAATTACTTTAAATTCATCATTTCATTCAATTCTATCAGAAAACCTATGATACAGATACTTTTAACCAATTTTACAAATAAAGAAACCAAGGGATAGGACAGGATTAATGACTAAAGTCACATATTCTATAAATGGCAGATTATTTGATTCCAGATGTGTTTTGACTTACAAAAGGATGTGACTCCACGTAAAACAGAGAGAATTATAGAAAACTACATGAATGTGCATTAAAAATCTATTCTGTAAAATTTTGTTTTAATCAAAACCACTTTACTGAACAGTTTGAATTACTTCTTTGTCTGGTGGTGGAAGCAAGGACATAATCTGAGAATGATAGTTTTACACTTCCAATTACTATCTTTGCTGATTTTCTTTCTTGTTCCTTAATGATATCCTGGGCAGATTCTACACATTCCTTGACATTTTGTTTAAAAAAAAAAAAATCCATTCTGCTTTGAAACTCCAATTTCACACTAATTTAAACCCCTCTTCACTGGAGTCCAGGAGGTTTGGAGATGGGAAAGGAGGATTATCTGCTGTATCATTCTTCCTTCTCCAACCCTTGGAGTGGAAAAGGCATGATCTTTTTGTATACTTCCTCTCCCTTGTCTTTTCAACACTAACCATTTTAAGGTCATGGGCTAGGAGAGAATAGAGGAGGCAGAGATCTTCCTATGTAACTGCCACATTTGTGATGCTAAGGCACGACTGGCATTTTCCTATCTATTCTTGTGTTCCCATGTTCCCATAGATAGATTTTCCTGTCTATTCTTCATGTTCTCATGTCCTCTGCTTTTGAGATGTGTGGTTTTATGAGGGAGTTCATCTTCACTCAGATCCCTTCTGTCTCTGCCTCCTTCTGGCCCTGCCTGTGATTCCATTTCCCCTCCGGATGAAGCACTGCCTTCCAAGAAGAGCAAAGTGATGACTATACCATGGTTTCCGCCACCTCATATAACCCCTCTGCTCCCTCTCATGGAGCCAGGTCCTCTCTGACATTCTCAGAGGGCTGAGAGTAACTAGGATGGCTTTGACCATCATTCTTTTCCTAGGCACTCCACACTAAGGCTCCTTCTTGCCCTTCAGTCATAGATTATTTCTGCAAGGCTTTCCTCTTCAGTTCCCTCTCAAAATGACATGCAGGAACCAAGCTTTTCTAAGAAATCCCTCACTATCATCAGCTATAGTGGCAACAAAGGGATGGAATGGGGACTGCTCTATTGTTCTGCAGTCAACAAGCCTCTAGCTGGGGGTACGATCTCAATCCCGGTCTCACTTTGTGTAGCATCTCATTCTCCCAGATAATTTTCTTGGAATCCCACCTCATTCATTTAAATTCTGGAGGTGAGAGAATTACCTCATGAGAAAGGATGGGAAAGGAACTGCCTCCCACTGCGAGAGTAGCATGTTCTTCCTCCCTGCTATCCCCCGTAATCTTCTTATAATTACTTATTTGCTGGGCAATGATTGTGGTTAGTAGGTCCTGTTTAGCTGCCTGCGTGTCAGTAAACTCTGGGGGGATTACCAGGCCCCAGTGTTGGCAGCTCTATTTAGACTGTGGCATATCAGTGCCTCTTATTTTCAGATGAAGCTCCAAGGCAACAGTAAAAATCCCACTCAATATCTTGTTATATAAACAATGGCTCTGCTCAGCCTTCTACTGTAGCTGTTCAAAATATGTGCACAACAGTTGATTTTAATTTTACTTTGCTTAGTGCTGCTTTCACCACTTTGAAAATCTTGATAAGCACCAAAGTGCTCTGAGCACATGGAGAGGCCTGGAGAAGGTCACTACGGTGTGCAATAATACAAAATAAATTAACTTGTCTCCGCACGAAGTGTGCACAGTCATGACAGAAAAAACAGGGTGCTTTCTTTTGAGGCTGACCTGGTTTTCAAGAAGTAGGAATGAAGGTTGGGGAAGGGAGGTATGGCAAAGAGAGAAAAAAAGAAAAGGAGGGAAAGGAGGAAAGGGTGGGGGAGAGAGAGATTGAGAACACAGACACTCCTTGCTTTCATTCCTGGCTCCCATGGACACAGCCCAGAAGGAGCGCTGTGGGCCCCTCTTGGGACAGGCTAGAAGCTGGCAGGCTTCTTTTACCCACAGAGCTATTTTGAGCTCTGGCCTCTCCAGCAGGGATGAGTGCCATGGCCCAAGGGGCTAGCATTCTTGACCAGGGGAGGTAGGGAGGGACGAAGAGAGCTTTCAAGTGTATTTAACATTCTCCTCACAGCCCTCTCCAACGGGTCTCCCTCTGTCCTTTCTCCAAACACCAGACTCCTAAGTTTACTGAAGAAAAATAAGCTCATTAATCCAAACTCAGCCTAACATAGCAAAAGAAACAAGACATAGTCTGATGGTGAAAACCCTGGATTTGGAGGTAAGTTCTACTGGCCCTGTTCTTTAACAAAAGTTTAGTCTATGCTTTAGACTCTAAAACAAGTACCTTAAAATGTATTTCTTTCCCGTGTCCTGACCTTTTCCTGCTTTTTAATGTTAAGCTTTTTTTCTGCATTATAATCACCAAAACTTTTGTTGACAGCAATCTGTTTATATCCTGAGCACATGTTGTGCTCTGAGCTCTGAGAAGAGTGTTAGAGAGACTCAAACGAGAGAAAAATGCGTCCCTATTTAGTGCTATTTAGAGGAGAAAGAAGCAGGTGTGGGCTTAGACATCAGGGTACATGGAGGAAGGAGAGCATCTAAAGTCTGAGAAGATGGGTGAGGATGAGAAGAGGAGCTTTTGCCCAATCTAAGCAGTTTCCCTGGTGTTGCCCAGACTACTCATCGTGGATGCTGTTCTACTTTGTAATCAGGATACCCCAATCTTCCGCTTTTCGAGAAAGCCCCTTGACGACACCATTACTCTTAGCTTTTAGCATAGCACCTGGCATACAGTAGGATTATAGGCTGAATGAACCTGCGCATATGTGAATTAATGAACTGGCAGGGTGCGGGAAGGAATGGCCACGTCCTAAGTTCCAAAATCCTCTCCAGACCTCTGAGCAGCCTCTTTGGGAGCCTTTAAGAACAGTAAAAGAGGCTTTTCTTATTGGGTGAATAATGCCTTACATATGTAGGCTGCCTTTTTTTCCCGAAGAGTTGTTCTTACCCATCTCACTTGATCTTCACACAAATCTGACTGGGAGCTGTGTTGGGGAGTCTATTGTATTGTATCACTATTTTATTGACAAGGAGGCTGAGGCTCAGAGGAATGACTACCCTCAATCCTTCTGTGTTACTCTGGAAACTCATTTAACAATAGTGTGATTTCATCTGACTAGGCACCTGTGGTTTCAGAAATACACAGCTTCAACCACTGATCTCTGATTAAAAGCTGGGGGTCAGTATCTCAGTCCTCCATTGATCAGGTTAGTTGTGATGCCTTATTGTCTCTAGACCATAAAGAAGATGGAGAGGCACATGGTCAGGGAACAATTGTATAAGCACTTTGATTTGGAGAGGAAGAATGCCAAGCAGGCTGAAGCCAGACTGGACCAAAGGCTGCAGAAACTGGAGGATATCTGCCTCTACCATGTGAAATTGCTGACCTGGGAGCAGAGGCAGCTCCAAAAAGAACTGCAGAAGTTGCAGCAAGGTAAGACTTTCAGGACTAGGGAGGAAGATGCCCCAGAGGCACAGCAGGGCAGTGGGCCCATCACTCTGCTGAGGCCCTTTCAGAGCCCTGAGTGCCAAGACAGCAAGAGCTTCTGATCAGAGCCTGGATTTTAGGCTGCCTAGCCTTCCTTGTCCCTCCCCCGTCAATTACATAGCTCCTCCCAGCAGCCTTCCCCGTAAGCCTTCTTGAGCTAACATTTCTCAGGCTTCCAGTCACTGCCATCATTCAAGTTAGCTCTTTCTTGCTTAAATCCTTTGTTTTCTTCTTTTAAATTTTATTTTTCATTTTGATTTTCTTTCATTATCTGGGCTGATTTGGTTTCACCCATTTTTTGATATCTGATCTTTCTCTTTTGGATCTAACAACAATTTATCGAGCAGTTACTAATGTGCAAGTCGCTGTCTTAGCCCACTTTATGAAAGTTAAAAAAGAAAGGAAAGAAAAAATGTCTCTGGAATTAGTACCTCAGCTTCCTCCAATGTCAAATAAAAGTATTTCCTACCTTATGAAGTTATTTGAGGATTCAGGGAGCACTTGGATGAAGTAAGCGCTATATAAGTGCACACTCTTATCAATTAAAAATTGTTACACAATTGAAACCCTTCTACTATTTTTGTTGAAAATGGTCACAGTTGTACAGTCTGTAGAAACTAGTTCTCCTTTGTTCATCATTAAAATAATTAGATTTTAATATTACTTAAAAATTCAGCACAGGAAAGAAATATCTTGGCTCTTGAAGACTACATCCTTTCTTACTGAAGGCAAGTGCCAGAACTCAGGAGTCTGAAATGGACAGAGCATGTTCAAGAGGAAGACCAGGTGCTATAAATGAACATAAAATATTTCAGGTCAACAGAGCTTATACATGACATAAATGCCAAGAGTAATAGCCAAATGTCTAGCCTGGGAATTCTTTCTAACCTCCAGCTTTGGGTTTGAAAGATACTCTGAGCAACTAACCGAACTCCTCTGCTTTCAATTTCCCTGTCTGCAATAAATGCTTAAACCAGCCTAGAATGAGAGCTCACATACTGGAAAAGGGTCTTAGAAGGCATTTGGTTGATTCCCACTCTTATTCAAAAAGGGCACTGAAGATCAGATGGCTACTCTCAGGAGGGTGTACAAAAGGCCAGGCCCTAGTAAGTGGCTGTCCTTGCTGAGTAGAGAGTTGGATTGGAAACAGTATGAATCAGGAGGTAGAAAACTTTGATTCAGGTGCTTCTGCCTCCATATCCTTTGGGAAGTCATATTCTCTCTAAGCCTCAGACTTCTTGACAGTAAAATCAGGGATACAGGAAGGAAGCAATATGTATTAAGTCTCAATATTTCTTAGGCACTGTGCTAGGCAATAGTTTTCCATGATTCATTTAAATGAAATTGTTATTGAGATTCAATTCTATGCCAGTGAGTAGATTATTTAAGATGCATGTTGCCAGTCCTTTGAGTCAGCAGGTTAGAAATTAGGCTTAAAAATCCACATTTTTAACTGAGATGATACTAAGGCAGATTATTCTGGGACAGGTGTTTTTCAGACCAGACTTTGCAAAACAGCTACTCAGGTAGAGTCCGGAATGCAAATATGAAAAACCGTGGTCTCTGCCCTCAAGGTACTCATATTTACATTGGAGAGTAGTTCCGCTTATAAAAAATGATTATCAAAACTGCTAATTGAGTTCTTCACAAAGTAGGGCAGGAACATAAAAAGGTTCCTGTGTCTATCAAAGGGCTTTAGCTAAGATTTCCCAAAAGACACAGTATGTGAGCAGAATCTTAGAGGAGGAGGAGAATAGGGAAAGGGTGGGAAGTTTGTCAGGAGGACATATGGAATGGGGCCACTCCCGGCAAAAGGAAGAGTATGTACAAAGGCACATAAGTGAGCACTGCTTGCCTCAAATAGCTCAGTACTGCAGGCACGTGACATGGAAGTGGGGAAGAGGAGAACGTGTAGGTGCAGTTTTCAGAGACAACGCAAAATAGCCAATGTCTCCAATCCAATCCAATCATGAATGACTTCACAGGTCTTGCAAAAGAGTTGAGAGTTCACCCTGTAGGGTTTGAGACTGGTGAAAATTACATGCTCAAATGTTAAAAAGATCATTCTGGGTGCAAAGTTTAAGGTAAAACAGACCTCAGGCTATAGTCAGAGTAGACCTGATAGAATTACAAAGTTCAGGCCATGGTTTCAAGGCCTAAACTAGGGCATTGGTCAGGTGAAGCAAATGAGAAGACGAGCATCTCAAGATATTTAGAAAGTAGAATTGTTGGAGCTTTAAGACTAAATATATGTCCAAGGGTAAAGAAAACCAGAATCTAAAGTATATTGCCTGGCACAAAGTAGGTGCTCAAATGTGCTTGTCAAATCTGGTAACTGGGTGGGTAGAAGTACCATACCTTCACAGAGAGAACATTGGAGAAATATCAAGTTTCAAAGAAAGGATATGTTCATTTCTCAACCTATTGTCCCCGTAGGTCTAAACTTCAGAAGACAGACCTTGCTGGGAGAAGTAGCTCAAAATCCCTCAGTTTATATGGAATAGGTGAAGTTCTTACATGTCTGAGACCCCCACAAAAGACCCCAAGGAGAAAACAAAGGATGAGCGGCTCACAAAGAACTCTTCCTTGTTCTGATCGCTTCATAAAGAAGCGATCATATGAAAGAGTATTAGGAGTTCATTGTGAATTCTAGGTTCCCTATCTGGTCATATTCCCTCTGCTTGGTGCCTATTAACCGAACTGTAGATTTAAAGAATTCTCTCCCATGAGCAAAACTAGTCCAAGACTTTCAACTCTAAATGACCAGTTCATGAGATGTCTTAAAAACTAATTGAGTTCTCCATAGCAGCTATGTCTGCAAGATGCTAAACCATCAACTCAACAAGTGAAAAGTCCACTTAGTCATGGCTGGCAGTTGCAAACTCACAGTTGGGTAGGAGGTCACATAATTGCGGTGAAGGAGACAATCCACTCACACCCAGTCATTTTGCTTTTGAAAACATTGTGCTTGCCAAGTAAAATGTTCAAAGGAAACCTCCACGGGTTTAGCCAGTTTAAACCTCTGATCTTGGTGTTTCTAAATCCTCTTTAACATATACTAGGTAAACACTGGAAAACTGCTTTAAATTTTTCCGTTTCCATCTATCACACCAGATGAACCTAATGTGTAATATACACCAAGGTTTATACGCATTGGTTTTCTGAAAGCCCAGTTTACAGAATTCTTTTTCTTCTTCTTATGTTGGTTTTCTAGGGCTGCCGTAACAAAGAACTACAAACTGGGTGCCTTAAACGACAAAAATGTATTGCCTTACAGTTCTAGAGTCTGGAGATTCAAAATCAATATGTCAGACATGTTGGTTCCTTCTGAAAACTGTGAGGGAAGGCTCTGTTGCAGGCCTCTCTCCTTGGTTTATAGATGGCTGTCTTCTCCCTGTGTCTCTTAGTGCTCTCCCTGTATGTGTCTGTGTGTTCTAAGTTCCTTTCCTTATAAGGACACCAGTAATATAGGATTAGGACCCACCCTAATGACCGCATTTTAATTTTGTTATCTCTGTAAGATCTTATCTCCAAATAAGGTCCCAGTCTGAGGTACTGGGGGTTAGGACTTGAAAGTAAAAAATTTAAAGACACAATCCAACTCATAACACTTCTTAATTAACTCAAGCAAAAACCATGAAGAAAAAGTTCTCCTCTTATTTGGGGAATGGAATTCAGAAGAGACCAGAAGATGTTCTCATGTTCTCACCACAGGGAGGGCAGCAGCACAGAGCCCCACAGGCTAAGAAAATGAGGTAAGAACTTGATTACTAAACTCATGGGTATGACATTAAGTCTCTCTTCCCAACTGACCTCTTTAAACTGTTTTCCTGAAGAAATGCTCCCTTCCCCTTCTTAAGTGAGACATTTTCCCTACATTGTTACCATTCAATTTCACCTGCCACCCCATTCCCACCTATATTACCTTGGCTGATACTGAAGAGGACCACATTCTAGTAAGTTGAAAGATCTAAAGAAGAGCCTCTTTATTGGTTTTCAGAGATCTTTCTTTTATCTCCTTTCTCAGAGCATTGGCAACCCGTATGACCCAAGACACATACAAAAGCAAGTCCCAGCTGCCTCCTTCACATGATCCTGGCCTCAAAGACTCCATGAAGAGCAAAGAACAGCTACTCTCTCAAAATAACAGAACTGCCTGCTTCACGAAAGAGCAACCACAAGCCCAAGAGAAAGATTCTGTGAATCCACCTAAGGACGTAGACTCCAGCAAGGGCATCTCTGTTCTATGCCAAAATCAAGAGGTTTCCACCAACACCATAGAACAAGGTCCTAGTTCCAGCCCAGCTCGTAATAGTGGAACGGCACATGCTGATAAGACCAGATCAAAAGATGTTGCTGTAAAGCCAGATGGGAACATTGGAAAACAAATTCCTCCAAATCACACGGAATGTGCAGGAAGCTTCGAAGGCGAGTTCACGAAGCCAGCCTTCTTAGAGTTGCTTTCAAAGGCCAGAAATGTGCATTATCTCCGGCACAGGGTCCCCCCTGAGTCTGAGAGGTTGCTTAGCATTGGGGAGGTATTTGGGCATGGGGAATCCCTGGAAGGCAGGCGAGGAGTGTGAAAATAGAGCGCCTTCTAAGTTTCTTCCTCTCTAACCATTTAACATAGCCTGATAATAACATATTCCATTATTGCTAAGGAAATGTGCTCCTCAAATGGCTATATTAAGCAATACAGAGAAAAACAAATAAACATAATTGAGTTACAATTTTATTTTAAACTTCCTATTATTTTCCGGGAATATAATATTTCTTGAATGAACGATGCTAATATATGAAAAAGGAGGGGAGGAATGAATCTTCTGAAAGTGCTTTTTAAGGGATGGGTTTATGATGTCATCAACAATATGAATATATATTGATGACTGGACTTGGGAAAACAGTGAGTCTTGCTTTCAGGGACTTCCGGTTTCTTCTAGGAGATTCTCATGGTGCCACCTGCTGGCAAAACGGCGTAGCTATTCTCTTTTTTTAGTTTGATACACAGTGGTGGTAGGAATAGGAATGCGATTGTAAACATGTACTGTAACATGGTCTGCAAAGAAAACCCGCTCTTTAACCACACCCATGTGCTTTCTTTGGAAGCCGTTTCCTTCTTTCCTTTATTTACAGATAGCTCCATTTTAGTTTTCACCTTCCCACTTTCAACCTGCTCCTATCAAATTTTTTGAATCCTATTGAAAGAATAATGGACAATCTTTTCCGTCTCGTATCTTTGAGAATCAAAGGATTTAAAAAACTTTTAATCATCTCCCAACATGCTGTCAAATGCACAGCAGACTCTATCAAAACGATTTCACTGTAAAATGAGAGGTACTAACATTGTTAACAAGTTATTGTTTCAAGTAGGCCTCTATGACTTGGGCTACATTGTAAAAGAATCGATTAGATTTTGTTTCCCATTCAAGGGATCCAAATATCACACTAAAAATAAGTAGTGTCATAAGTCATCAGAAAACAATAGCTTTTTGTTAACGCATTTAAACTTATTGTCTACCTAATGAAGTGTAGAATAAAATCATCACCACTTTTTATCTATACTGACTTTATTAGGAAAATCATCTTGCACCATAGGTCTCAAAGAAATCATGCCTCTATGGTGGATAAATTCAAATCTTCAGCCCAATAACAAATTTTAATTCCAGAAGTATAAACTTGAGGGCCTATTTCATATCTGGCATCCATACTTGATGTAACCCAGCCTGGGATATTTTGATGAAACAAGGTTATTTAGCTCAGAAATGATAAAGGACCCCAACCTACCAATATAACAAAGGGCCTGTAATGAAGATTAATTCATATTTAATTTATAGTTCATTAAATATAAATTTGAAGTACATTTAGTTTGAAAACATTTCATTTAATTCAGATTTAGAATTCCTTGTGTTTAAAAATAGTAATTCCTAATAGCTCCTATTTTTCAGTACCTCCCCCCATCCTGACACATTCCACACAGCATGCCAACTGATCCTCAAAACAATGCTGCAAAATAGTTTTCTTTATCCCCATTTTACAGAAAAGGAAATTGAGGGAAGAGTGGTGGCAACTTGCTAATAGATGGCAGTCTAGCATTTGATCTCTCCTCTACTCAATTTCCTTGCTCACGCTCTTTCATTACACCACACTACCACCTATCTGAAGACAAAAGCTTAGATCAAACATGTGAGAGTCAGTTTCATCAGCCCAGCCTCTGGCCTTCAATGGGGAGACAATACTTTATAGTGAAAAGAACACAAGAAATCTGCTACTTCCAAGATTTTCTTCCATGAAGCAAAGCAGCAGAGGAAGATAGGCCATAGGTGACAGAACTGATTCACGAAAACTTAACTTATTTGCACCAGCCATGCGTGGGCCAACAGGAATAGGCATACAACAATTAGAGAACCCCTTTGTAAACTGCACAAGCTCTTTCCTAAAATTTCTTTCTTCTTGTCTTCTACGCAAGCCTTGCCTATCATCATCACAATTCTCCCTCAAGGCTGAGTCCTGAGTGAATGGTTTGTCACTACTAAGTGGGTCTTTTCACTGTACTAGCTATCACAGTGGGAAGGGGCCATCACAAGGCAGAGGGAGCCAGCCTCAGCCCACACCTCTGTTCCACTTGGTTCCACGCCCTCTGCTCCAAGTCCACCTCACTCCTGCCATCTACAGAAGTGAACATTCTGCATGTTCCTCCTTGCTGTCTTGCTTGTGTCTTCATATACATCTGACAGACCCAGATCTGTCTGCACTTTTAAAATCAGTATTTTAGTACATCGTGTTTTAAATATTCCATGCATTGCCACAAATTATACATTTAAAAATCTTCTAACCACCTAGATTTTATCTTCTTATCATTTAGTCTAATACATTTTCCTTCTTCAATACAATGGATGTAATACTCTGATTAGTACAACTTAACACAATCAAAGAGAACGCTGCTGCATGGAGCCTTTCTTGCGTAACGCATTAAATTCTAAAGAACAGTTTAAATCCTTAATCCTCACACGGCACATGGTGCTCTAGGATGGCTTGCTCTCGACTAGGCACAGTTACTGTGCTTATACCAGTGGTTCTCAGCTAGGAGCAAATGTGCCCCCCCCCCCAAAAACATCTAGCACTGTCCAGAGGTATTTCTGGTTGCCACAACTGAGGTGAGGGGGCTGCTACTGGAGTCTAGTAGGTAGGGACCATAAATTCTATAACATATGGAACAGCCCTCTAAAACAAAGAATTAACAAGCACAAAACATCAATAGTGCCAAGATTGGAAACTCCACCCTGTACCATTACATTAAATATTCACAAAACCTTCTGAGATAGAAAATCAGGGAGATACTTGCTGCCATTTTACAGATAAAGAAACTGAGGCTCATGGTAAGTAAAATAGCTTTCTCCATACCAGAATGTGGATGAGGAATGAAGACGAGAATACTCTTTTCCCATACTCTCCTCTCAAAGAAGATGGGGAATGACATGTGTCCGATGGCTCCTGCCCTCGTTTTCAGTTAAGAAATGCTTTCAACCCTACAAATACAAATCTTTAACATTCAAATTAGTAACAAATGGTTAAAAGGGATAATTTATACTTCAATTTTGAGGAAACATTTTTATTGCATTCATCCATTCATTCATTCAGAGATGTACTGGGGACAGATAATCCCTTCCCCGTTTCCTCCCCCATGAGGAAGAAGGAGCTTTTGACTTGTTGCCTTAACTCATTCAATGGGAAGAGATTCCATTTCTCACCTAGAGACAGAGGCAGCTGGAAACTCCCAGAGGTAGAGACTCAGCCTCTCACCCAGGGTCCCCAGGTCCTGGAGGCTACTAAAGAGCACCCTGAAGGATCTCACAATCCTCAGTGTGGGAGGAAGGTTGGGTAAGTTGTTACCAGGAACACTGGAGGGACCAGCTCCTCTCAAGGTAAAATGAGCCTTGAAGGAAGGGCAGAGGAAATCACTCTTGGGCAAGTGTTTTGCCCTCACATCAAGAGTACCAGGGAAGCAGAGGGCACCAGTCCAAACAGACGTCAGCAGCCCAATCTCACCATTGACAGCCAGAATAGCAAGAAACCATTGCAAAAAAAAAAAGGCAGGGGGAGGAGCCAGAAGTGTGTGAACAATTGCATGAACCAACTCATTCCCTCACCTCCACCCACACCTACTCGATCAGGCATACAGGCACTGAAGACAGAAGAAGGGAGAGTGGGCAGCCAGGTCCTCCTCTTCTGCCTGAGGCCACTGCAGTAGAACAGAAGTTCCACCAGGTGGGGAAGGAAGACTGTAAACTGGACAAGAACCATAAGTAATAATAACCTAAATGCAGTTAAATGAATATCTACTGGCAATAAAACTTTTAGAACAGAAGTGCATGGAAGTTATCAGATCAGACTGAAGTAATATTAAGCAAAGTTGGTCACAGTTACTGGGGGTAAGAAAAGATAACCATTCCATGTTTATACCTCACCAAACTGAGATTTCTCAACCTAATCTATATAGAGATGCATTGCACTGAATTACACTGACTATAAGAAACACAGGTCTTTATTATATGGTCCTCATCTCAAATGTGGCTTGGGGCATGTGTGGCCCCCTTAAGATTTATAGGAAAAAAATGTTTTACATAATTAGGCATAATGCAAACTATCCCCTAACTTTTCCACCTTACCACCACTATTGTGAATATGTTGCTGCTCTATGTCCTAATAATAGGCATCATTAAAAATTGTGAATGAAATTTAATGTAATTAGTTAAATTATTTTGAACTACTCAAGTTTAATCCCATTGAACTGGTTGCATGAAACTGGGCAATGAGGAAACCTTCCTGGTAAAAGGAAAACACATATAAATACACATACAAAGACTCCAAATACACGTAGCACATTTTGGTTAGAATCAAATTGAATACTTGCATGGACCCTTTCAACTCAAAATTATTAATAAAATGAAATCTTACTTTTAAAATGTGTGATAAACAAAATGTATGCATGCTATATATAAAGATGTCAATGCAATTCACAACTGGAAAATGTTTGAATACTCTGAGGACTATTTGTTCACAGTGAGGTGGAAGAAATGAGGCAAACAGCATAGACCAAGGGTTCAAAACTAAAGGACAAGAGCTAGGATTGCCAAACCAAGTGACTGATTCAGCTGTGGAGAGAGCAACAGAAAGTGAGCAAGCATCTGCCTGCATCACTGAGACCTCAGCCTACTTTCCTCCTGGCTTCCCCTGGAGCTCCAGCAAGTAGGATAGTATGAGCAGAATAATAGTGATGCTAGTAATTATTTTGATACTATTAAATGAAAGAGCAGATACAATTTTACATAAGAGGTATAAGAATTCATATTTGAATGATATTTTTTCTTAGAGGATTTTCCTCTCATTTTCCTTGGGGAGTACACACTCACTCAGACACTGAGACCCACAACAATCTTTTTAAAAATGGCCATAAAAAGAAGGTGCCCCCAAGGACTCAGATGGCAGTTCACTACAAGCACTCATACCCGCAGTATGCTAGCTATCAGTATGCTGGAGGGAGGTGATCATGTTTCAGGGAACTAAGGGTGAATGGCAGCCCTAATACACTTTTTTAAGTTCCAGCAAATTTTGGTAAAAACATTTGGCAGTGTCTTTATCCAGGTCTGTCTGAAAAATACAAGCAAAATGAAGTATAAGTTGGTGTGATGGTTAATACTAGGTGTCAACTTGACTGAGTCAACGTATTGACCCTGGGTGTGTCTGTGAGGGTGTTGCCAAAGGAGATTAACGTTTGAGTCAAGGGACTGGGAAGGAAGACCCACCCTCCATCTGGGTGGGCACCATCTAATCAGCTGCCAGCACAGCTAGAATATAAAGCAAGCAGAAAAATGTGAAAAGACTAGACTGGCCCAGCCTCCCAGGCTACATCTTTCTCCCGTGCTGGAGGCTTCCTGTCCTCAAACATCGGACTCCAAGTTGTTCAGGTTTGGGATTCAGACTGGCTCTCCTTGCTTCTCAGCCTGCAGACGACCTATTATGGGATCTCATGATTGTGTAAGTTAATACTTAATAAACTCCCCTATATACATCTATTATGGGGATA